TTCTCTTTCTTCTCTCTAAGTGTTCTTACTCCTAAGTCATCTGTTTGACGATCGGGAGGTGTCTTTACGTTCACAACGTCAAGGTCTATAAATCTAGCCGATCAATTTCAAGAACAGAGCAAGTAAGTTTTGACTCATTTTTCTTCTTTCGTTCCCAAATATGTTTTAGAATAACCTAGTACTATTGCATGTGTAATCATGCTTCTTCTATTCATTCTTGGTTAATCTAGAGTTCTAAGGATTCTGTCCGCTTTCAATTTGGTGTTTCGAAGGTTCGTCTAGAGATTCCTTACATTCAAGCAATCGGCGGAACATTCCTTAAGTAGGGCAGTTTACTGTGAGATAAGGGAAACTAATTTGCTTTTCATAATTATAGTAAGATGTCTGTAATCTGTCATTTGGTGTGCATGTGATTATATGATTGTTAGTGGTGTGAAATTTGGAAAAATATGAGTAATTGCCCTTTTTGATGTGTTTTTGGAATAATTGTGAATGAATGATAGTTGTATAACTTATAGTTTGATGAAATGGAAATTTTGTTGAGATAAAACTGTGTTATTATTGATAGTTGAAAGAATTAGGGATTTTGAGTATAAAATTGGATATTTAAAGTGGGTGTTAGCATGTCAATTTTTGGATTAGTGGATTTAAAGATAATTATGTAGTTTGGTAAAGGTCTTTGGATCTATTATATTTGGTTTAAGTCCTAAAACAGTTATATAGTATGAAGTTGAAATTGAGAAGTAACACTTGAGTGCATTTTATACAGTTTTAGAGTGAAATTGGGGGTTTTAATAGGTGAATTTTTAGAAAGGATGATAGTTTAATAGCAGTAGCAGTTTAGGGAATTAATTTAATTAATTTGATTTCAATAAAAAAATAGGTGGACTGGTGAGCCAACCCGGCTCACCACGGGTTCAACCCGGGTGAGTCGGGTTCTTAGCGAGCCGGGTCAAAATTGGCTTGCATCAAAATTTTCACATTTTTTTCCAACTCAACCCGGCTCAAACTCGTGGTGAGCCGGGTTGGCTCACGAGTTTCAACCCATTTTGACGACACTAGCTTAAAGAAGTTGTTTTGGTTTGGAATGGTCAATTTGAGCTAGAGGTGAGTTTTCTGAAGTTTCTTAGCATTTATAGGGTCATAGGGAGTAGTAGAAGTTGGGGGAGAAGTGTCCAAGGTTAAATAAAAAGAGGGTTTGGATCTGCCATGGCATTGAGCGCCAGCTCTCGGGTAACAGGATGCTGAGCATCAGCCTGGGCGCCAGCTCTCTATCTCGTTGACGCTGAGCACCAGTTTGTGGAGTTGAGCGGTAGTTAGCAGGGTTAATTTTTTTGTTGTTTTGGGTATTCTAGGGTATTGGTATGGGTTATTTTCCGTTCTTTCATAAATGTTGTATGGTTCCTTACGCTTAGATGAAATGTATGATGAAGATATCTAAGTGTTGTGTGAACTATTGTAAAAGTGAAAGGTTATATGTATATGATTTCAAATGGATTCTTGTGTTGTATGCAATGTATATATTAATATAAGGTTTATATGAGAATGAAAGTGGTGTTATGAGAAGAATCTCAAGGACAGATTCTATTTTCTAGCAAGTTGTAAGAGAATGCTTGATGGAGAGACTGTGATACCCATGTTTCAAATGGAGTGGCAGAAAGAATGACAGGAGGTCTTCACCCAAGCCCTCTGGGTTTTAGGAGGAGAAGATTTACCTTATGGTGAGTAGGTCGAGTTACCCTTATTTATAACTCTGTAGAGTATAAATACTACCATGAGTGCATGCTTGCAGTAGTCTATATCAACATTATACTCGGATAAGTGAGTATAGTGGATGAAGCTTGGTCTTGTGGTTGTATGAATTGTTTGCTCTTGAATGTTTTTAATTGTTAAACTAACTTATTATCTGAACTTTATTTATACACTAGCTTACTCTTGCTTCTGTGTTGTCTATCTTTGTGTATGTTTTACATTTTGCAATGATCACCTTAATGGTGTGAGCTTATGGAGGATGTCTTTTCAATCTTTTCAGCGTGAAATTAAGAGGATAGCTGCAATCATAAGTAGAGTTTTGTTATCCAAAGTGTAAGCTCTGCTTGAGTGGAAGTTTATAATTTTTGGTAAGTTATCATCAATGTAATGTTTTATTTTAGTAGCTTTATACTACTAAAAAGGGATGTTACAATATACTTTGTGGTATAATTGAGTTATTGAGTACAAGAGTTATTGAGTGTTGCACAATTTTCTTCAGAGAGAATGATATTTATCACTTACTACACTCTGCAACATAGCACTTGTCTTGGTTTTGAACACTTATTAACGATTAGATAATATGAAATATCTTCATTTCTTCATCCATAGAGCATTTGTAGATACAAAACACAGTGTAAGGCAACAAGTGTGATTGCTTCCACTCACCACCATGTATAAGCATCGTAATCTCATGCCCATGGACAGAACCAAAATTGTAGTCACAAGGACATATATCAACCTCAAATATTTTATTTTTAATAGATATCCATATAAAAGGGTTACAACTATTTTAATCATCTCCTTGTTAATGAGGTGCATGGCAGTATTGTATGTGCATATATTTGTTAGGGTTAAATATGTTTTTAGTCCCTATACTATCAAGCGATTTTAGTTTTAGTCCCTCTTTCAAAGTAAGATACATTTTAGTCCTCCACGGCGGCCGGACCATGGGAGGATGTCTTTCTCCGTCGATCGGTAGCTGTCGAACTGGCCTTTGCAGTCCCTCTCCTTCGAATTGAGTGGAAGATGGAAGGAAGAGACGAGGGAGAGAGAGGGAGAAAATATGAGAAACATTGACTCAGCGCAAGAAAAAAAAATCGTGTCAGTCTACCGTTAGTCACATCAGCTGGTTTTTAACGGTGTTAATTTTGGAGGACTAAAATCAAAGTTTACTTAAGGAGGAGGACTAAAATATACCTTACTTTGAAGGGGAGACTAAAACCAAAACCGCTTAATAGTATAGGGATTAAAAACATATTTAACCTTATTTGTTACCGATTTTTTTTTTTTAATTCTCTTTAAACATCAAATAATGAAAACAAAGTTAACTATGGAAAAAAACATTAATAATTGAGTAATTATTTATACTTTAATGTTAGAAATGTATGTTTTTATTGAAATTTATAAAATAAAAATCGATTTTAAAGAAATTAATTTTATCTAAATTGCATTAGAAAAAATAATTTTATTTATACTAATATTTTTTATGGTATAATTTATTTAAATTAAACTTTCTAATAATATTTTATTTGAATCGTGTTTTTCAAGCCGTAGACAATACCCCGTGAGGAGAGAGAACTGGTGGGGATAGACCGAGGATGGCAAGACTGTGGGTGACGTCATTCATTTTGGAATGCAAATAGCTCTGAGAACCAATAAAGATGTTCTTCTGAATTTGGGTAAATCACTACCGCTGTGTTCAGGAATTTACAAAGATTATGGAGGATGAATTTGCGAGATGATTTTTTGTTTGACCCTATAAACGAAGACAAATTTATGATAATTTGCAGGATTTACACTTTTTCCTTACGGTTGCACGTTTTCTTGGATTTGGACAGATTTAATATAAAATTTCATTTTCATTTTCAAATTCTTTTAAAATACCACAACCTTTCTTACAATAGGATGTGCAAAATCTAAGGTATTCGATCCTAACTCTTATATAACTTTTTTGGTAAACCATGTACTGTTAAACACTGGGAGCTCATGAGTTTAAAATGGTTACTTTCACAGCTAGTGTGCCCTAACTGGGTTATTTGCAGAGATTTGATTTTCTGCTTTCACACAACCACACACAAAAATCCTAAAAAAATAACAATTAATTCACTTTTAAATCTATCAACTCACTCTCTTTAAATCAATCTTATAAATAATAGTCAAATATTTATACATCATCATAATTATTTATAAATAATAGTCAAATATAATAATAATTAACTCAAAAATAAATCTAATCTATTTATTTGATATTTAAAAAACGAAAAATAATAATCATATAAGATCTGTTTTTTTGTTTTTATAATTATAATAAAAACTTATGAGTCATGTCAAAATCATAAGATAAAAATCATGTACCTGTTGGACTGAAGACACACAAATTATGGGACGTGTCGGAGCTTCCTAGCCATGTATACACTTGAGTATGCATATTGATATCCACACTAACGTTGTACTTCTATCTTCTATCCACCGTGGTAAAGTTGGATTTAACAGATGAAAGCACCCGTTGTTTACATCGGAATCCCTATTCTCAAACAAAAAATTATCTAATAACCGTAGTTCAGCTGGTTCATACAAACAAAGTAAAGTAATAATAACCTAACTTGTTGATTTGACAGTTGACATTGAGAATTCCTGTTTATAAAGTCGATTACAACTTCTGATATAGATTCTAATTGTATAACTAACTACCACATCTTTACAATTCCTATGTTGCACGACTCGTCAATTAAAGTTAGTTTTAGCTGTTTTAAATGTTGACTAATGTGAAACTAGCAAACTACGTATCAAACGTGCATAAGTGCAATTTCCTCTCCTATTGCCAGCCAGATATCAAACATTCCACTTTCATTCATGATGAAACGAATAATTCAAAAACGAAGGCCGTTCAAAGAATTTACGAGTACAGGTTGGGTGTCATGTCAGTTGAAATGCACTTTAAACACACCAATGCCAAAATTTCTATAAACACAGTTGGACAGATTAAGAAGTGTAACAGTAATAACTAATAGCAATTGCAGAACACGAATCTGCTGCTCCAACAGCAGATTAAAAACATTAGCCATAAGGGAATTCTAACCACACTAAGTTAACAAGGCATTAGAAAATCTCAGTTAGCATTTCACCTTCCCATTCAGTTTCGTCATAGAACAAAGTGGTTATATCCATAAGAGAACATGAAACAGAGTTGTCATATCCAAAAAGGGAGAGGGTAGCAGAGTTCAAATGACCCAAGGATGCACCCTGGCTAATAGAAAATATCATATCTTCATACTATACAGAAGGATGTATTTACAATAAGTTCCAAGTCAAGAATAGATCTAATCATGATTGATACACCTAAAACAAATAGTATTAATGGTTGATGAGTGCTTTATATGAGAGAGCGGTGGAGTTGGCCCATGAGTTTACAATTTAAGAGAAAACGTACCTTCTATGATCACTGTACATTTATAATATTAAGATTTACAAAGTTAATCCATGTATGGTATATAGAGATTATGACAAAGCTGCAAGCCCAAAGAAGCAGCACCTCCAGAAAATTTTCTAGTTTAGTTACCAATCACATATATTTGGTGAATGAAAAGTAGTCAGAAAAACTACTTAAGCAGGCACCAAAGCCCAGCCTCCACCCATTATGTGCAGATACAACGAGAGACATATAGTCACAATGACGGAGGACTTCGCTGCAAGATATCTCACAATCTCAAGCACTGCCTCTTGAGCAACATGAGCACATCTCCTCACAGAAGCACAAAATGTCTGCAAAACAAACTCCATGAAAGACCTAACAGTCTCAAACGTCACCCTTCCAGTCAGGTCAAGAACAAGCCTCCTATTACTGGGAACCGCCAATGTTGACGAAATTTTGCCCACCCAGCCACTCCTATTTTCTTCATCATAAACATCATCAGCCTTCGACTCAATGGACGACATTTCTCCACCCAAGTCCTCATTTATCAAAGTTTCTCCAATAGCCAAATATGAACCTGAACCTGAACCAACAACTGCATTTGAACTTGTTAACACTTTGTGAGACGTCTTGATGAGAGTCTCCACGGCACCATTACAAACAGAAACCAAGATTTCCCTCACATTGGTCTCATGCTTCGGGTTAGTTAAGCCAGCAAAGAAATCGTCATAGGTGTTGATATGCATGGTCTTATCAAGATAAACCGCAACCGCGGTGCTCACAAACAATTGCACACAATTCCCAATCAATTCCCCACACTTATCACCACAAACTACATCCACCCAAGCAAGAACAGGATCCGAATTGGACCCAACATGTGTGACACCACTAGTCTCATTGCTGGAGTTCGACTCTCCACCTAAGTGGTTACGTTGATCCGTATAAAACGCAAGAACCAGGTTCCTAGCAAAGCTTCCAAGAACTACCGAAGCAAAACCTGACCCAGCTGGTGTAAACATTTTGTCAAGCACCCGGTCCACGGCCGTTGAACCGGATTGCTCACCACCAGTCCGGTTCATAGATTGATAACCGCGCAGGACTCCGACGGTGACAGCACTGGTGACGCCAACCAAGGACTCCGACAATTGTTGAGAGCGAGCAATCTTGGAAATCTGCTTCAGGCTATTGGGGATTTGATCTGAATCGGACTGCAGAAACTCTTTAACGTCTCTGGATACGATTCCGATGGTATCTGCAGATTCGGACACGGCTTCCGCTACGGAAACCAACGCACCCGCAAGCTTCGAAAGCCTCTTTCTCTTACGAACAACAGAAGGCGCATGAAAGAGCTTGTAAGCGCTGAAACCACCCAACCCAACAGCACACAGAATGAAAATCCATTTCTTTCTTTTACGGACGTAATCAAAACGAAAACCCTGACCAACTAACTGCACTTCCATTAACCCCACTTACGGATATTTAAACTCGCCAATTTATAATTACGATCGCTGCTGACCCAAACCAAACGATGTTAAATATACAGAGAAAAAAAGAGAGACAGAGCTTGGAGAAGGTTGTGAGGTCAAAAATTGAGGGTTTGAGCTGGAGTTCAAGCTGTTTGCTATTGCTTGATTTTGGTGGAAGCAATAGCCCCAACCGTCATCTTCAATTCAGCCGTCACGCCACAAACAAATCACACCCACCACTAATTATTTCAATTTTTGTTGTTGTTGAGATATATTCCTCTACGGACTGGTCTTCGTGGACGCTTCTCTCTTTTGGACCGACTGTCATTGCAGTTAACATAACTAATATTCAAACTATCTACATAGCAAACATATGTAGAAGATTTAACATTCAAGGTTGGCCTAGGGCTGCTGACTTGTTAAAATCTAAAAACTGAAAATGGAAAAGAATGGGTTAAACAGAGTGGAATTACTAGCAACACGATTGTCATATAAAACTAAAATGAAAATTACAGAATGAATGATATTAACAAGTTAAATTTTTTAATTTTACCTGTTTTACACAAATTTTAAACTTAAATAAGATTCTCACTCTGATTGTTTTATGAGATCAATTCATTAATTCTTTAAGATTAACATAAATTTAGCATTAAATTTTTTTAGTATTTGTTTACAAAATTACTCTTTGCAGTATGTAGACAATTTTCAAAT